AGAGAGAGAGAGAGAGATTGGGCTGGTTTCAGACATCCAGAGGTCTTTAAGGGAAGCGGCTCAGATTTCAGGTGGGATGAGAATGTAGCAGGGGAGTGCATGGGAGTGTGTGGTGGATTTCACAGTTTGAGCTGTGTGCCCAGGAAGTGCACGTATTTTAGTCTTTCTCTTGTTCTTGGCCTCTCAGTCTGTCGCCTCCTGGTGGTTTTTGTTTGTTTGTTTGTTTTGCCTTGGCTAGTTTTTAGATTCTTTTATTTGCTGAACAGGCTCAGTATTCAATTTACAAGTGCCACCTTTGTTTATTTGTATCGTTTGGCAGAACACTAGTCTATGACCCAATAATTCTCCTGAGTCATAAAACCACACACAAGAGTTTACTAAAGGACTTGTAGGAGAATATTCATAGCGTTCTCCTCATAGGCTTAATGTAGAACTAACCCAGGTGTCATAAACAGTAGGTAAAGTAATGTTTAGCAGAAACATTGGCTTATTTTTATTTGATATTATAAAAGTATATTGTTTGAATTTATCAATTGTGCTTTCTGTTACAACCAGTCTTTTTTCATTTATTCTCTCTTAGTCTCTATTATCTTTTTATTTATTTATTTTTTTTGTGGTATTGGGGATTGAACTCAGGACTTTGTGCTTGCTAGGCAGGCACGTAAGTCACTGAGTTATATTCCCAGACTTCTATTATCTTTTCATAGTTCCATATTTTACCCTGGAGATTGTATATTCAGTGTACTTGTCTGACCTAGAAATTACAGTACACTATTTATTATCAATATTAGCACATTTTCATTATGAGCATAATGATACATGAAAAGAAGTCAGATACAAAAGAATACATAGTGTATGATTCCATTTATATTAAGCTCAAAGCCGGCAGACAAATCTGTAGTATTAAAGGTCAGGTTAGTGGTCAGTCTGTGGGCTGGGGTGACAACTAGTGGAAAGAGGCTGCAGATGTTGGTAGGACTCATTTCTTGACCTGGGTGTTGGCCTCTCAGGTGTGTCCATTTTGTGTACAGATTATAATTTGTGCACTTCTTGGTATGAATATCATACTGTAATAATAATGAAAGGAACACATTGTTTTCCTGTAATCTAAAACAAAGTCTACCTTTGATCAGGACTTTGGAAATTTCTAATGGCCAAGCTACTGCAACTTCCTCCCAAGTTCCTGCCCTCGGAGTGGCACATTGCTAACAAGAACCAGTACCACAGGGCAGAAGCCCAAAGGTCCCGATCCGAGCGCCTAGTGGCAGAAAGCCAGAGGCTTGTGGAAGATATTGACAAGAGTACAAGGAAATCCCAAAGTGATGTAAACAAGAAACTTGGTAAGTATGGTATATTTGTGAGCATTCTGATGAGGCTATTGAGGTTTATCTATAATGTCCTGCCTGGGTGTGACAACTGGCATTCTTGAAGTGTCAGGGAAAAATATTCTCTAGGTCTTGTGGTTAAAGTCTAGGTATTCTCTAGGTCTTGTAGTTAAAGTCTCTGATATTGTGGTAGGCCCGTAGTGATCCGCCATTCATTCATTCACTGACTCGATACATGCCTTTTGAAACTCTATGAGCTGTGCACTGGGAATATCACAGGGACTGAACAGTCTTTGCATTTCAGAAGTCCTGGATTGAAAAGAAGAAAGATAAAAATTGTCAATCAGAATATAACCAGCTAGGTGCTGGGGTAAATGAGGCTAAGGTAGAAGTGGGATAGGCACTGGAGAATTGGCAAAGATTTCCTAAAGAAAAATATCCGAGCAGGTTTTTAAAGGATTTTTTAACCTATTGTCATGCATCAATAACTTTACAAAAGTATAAATGGAAGACTGTTCTGTTGTGAAAAAAATATGGATACACGAAAGAGTTAGGATAGATATACAGCTACTTTCTCTTACTTCATTGAGAATAAAAGTTTGTACTAATACTGCTTGACAAAAAAAGAAAATGTCTAATAATTCTCAACTTGATGAAAAATCTATCATTTCTCCATAAAATTGCCTCTGCTTCTTTGTTGACTATAAAAGAATAAATTTATTGACTGAAAAAATAAATAAAAATTAAAAACAATAACAACAAAAATAAAATAAGATAAAATCTATGCTGTCAGTAGGCCTATAGGTGCCCCATTTCAAGGCCTTCTGCTGAAGAGACAGCTTAGATCTACCTTAGGAATGTTACTACATAGCATAAAGTGCAAAACTTAAGTTATCTTAGAAGAGTTAGAACAATAGTACCTAAATTTAAAAAACGAAAAAGCATGAATATTCTTGCCACAATGAAATGTGCATCACTTACTTCTCAAATGTAATGTCAGGGGCTGGAGAGATGGCTCAGTGGTCTAAAGCACCTACTTAGAACAAGCTTAGCAAAGCACAGGGACCGCGGTTCAATCCCCCAGCACCACATGCCAGCCAGCCCCGCCCCCTGGTGGGCTGAGCTGGCCACACACATAAATAAATAAATAAATAAATAAATAAATAAAACAAAAAAAATTAAAAAAAAATGTAATGTCAGGAATCTTGCCTCTAACAACTGTCAGCACTGCTTCTCACAGTGCGATTCTGCATAGACCCTTAAGTGCTGCTGGCTGCAACACTCTTAAAAGAGACTTGAATGAAGAGCAATAGCAATATTACCATCTCTTACTTAAAAGGAGAATTGGGTATGAAGATACAATTTGAAGATCTGCATATTGATGGCAGCCTTATTTGAAAACATATGCAAAAATGTGAAGTGGGCTCTCAGTCTCAGAGCGCCAGAATCTGGCGGCAAGAGGAAGGCTGTGGGGCAGCGTTTCTGTAGCGGTTTAGGTTTCTGTTTGGAGCCACAGTTGTTTAAAGCTTGGGGTACTTGGGAAGGGGCTGCCACTCCCAGCTGTGTTGACTCTGACTCTTGGGTCCAAGATGAACAAAGTCTGTGCTATTTTCGGGGGCTCCCGGGGCATTGGCAGGGCAGTAGCGCAGTTAATGGCCCAGAAAGGCTACTGATTGGCGATCGTGGCCAGAAACCTGGACGTGGCCCAGGCTGAGCTAGGCGGAAATCATTTGGCTTTTAGCTGTGATGTTGCTAAAGAACATGATGTTCAAAATACATTTGAAGAGATGGAGAAACATTTAGGTCAAGTTAATTTCTTGGTTAATGCAGTTGATATTAACAGAGATAACCTTTTAGTAAGAGCAAAAACTGAAGATATGGTATCTCACCTTCAGACTAACCTCTTGGGCTCCATGTTAACATGTAAAGCTGCCATGAGGACTATGATTCAGCAACAGGGCGGGTCTATCGTTAATGTTGGCAGTATCGTTGGCTTAAAGGGCAATTCCGGCCAGTCTGTATACAGTGCCACTAAAGGAGGATTAGTGGGATTTTCCCATGCACTCACTAACGAGGTAGCAAGGAAGAAAATTAGAGTGAATGTAGTTGCACCAGGATTTGTCTGTACAGATATGACCAAAGATTTGAAAGGGGAACACTTAAAGAAAAACATCCCTCTTGGGAGGTTTGGAGAAGCTATTGAAGTAGCCCACGCAGTTGTGTTTCTTTTAGAGTGTCCATATGTTACTGGACATGTTCTAGTGGTGGATGGAGGGTTACAGCTTGTGATGTAATTAGAGACTGTTTGTTATAATGGTGGTTTGAGTCATTTTGACTATTGATTGTAAATGATACCTACCCGGGGCTGGCATGTACTAATCAAACATACTGATTCCACAAACGTTGATTCTCATGTTTATATGACTGTCTGAAAAGAACATTGTGTGACCAGCTGTGTTTCAGCTAAAGGGTGTGTGTCATCTCCTGTTGATTACTTGTGGGCTGTACTAATTTTACTGTGGAGACATTTTGCAAGGGATGTAAACAGGTGTTAACTTTCATATTTTGTCTCAATTATGATGAATTTTTTCACTGTATCTGTTTGAATTTTTTATTTTATTTTTCTTTGGTGGTACCAGGGATTGAACTTGAGACTTGTGCTTGCCAAGCAAGCACTTATTCAACTGAGCTATCTCCCCAGCCTCTGGTTGAGTTTTTTAGATGCTAACTTTTTTGAACTATTGCCAAAATAAGAGTATTTACAGCACAGTGATTAGTTATCAGTGTTTTAGCAGCCCTGTTGTTAAACATTTTGTTGTGGGGCATATGCTTAGGCCAACAGTTTTCTGTAGGTTAGGAAGAATAGTATCAGTTAGATAAAGAAATGAAGGTAGACTTCTTCTCAGAGAGTAATTACCCTTGGCTAAGCAAATGGACAAATAATGTGAAAATTTAAGTATGGAGCATTTGGCCCATTCTTTAGAAATCCTGAAAGGTGATGAGGCTTCATGTATATGCAGCAATATTAAGGTTTTAATATCTGGTGCAATAATGAGCTGCACAGATGTCATGAATATAGGAAGTGCCTTTTTTTTTTCTTATTCCCCAAAATTCAATATATTGAGCTGTTAAAAATAGCATTCAGAGTATTTTGTGGGCCAGAGGTTGTGACATATACTTGGTGTTCCAGCAAATCAGAAGATGGAGTCAGGAGAATTGCAAGTTCATGACCAGCCAGGACAACTTAATGAGACCCTGTTAAAATAAAAAAAAATTAAATCAAAATTAAAAGATAAAGAATGCTGACATTCCCTAGGTTCAATCTCCAGTATCACAAAAAAGTATTTTGCATTCATAAATATGATGCTTACCTTAACATTTTAGAGTGAACTCATAACTAATCATTTGGAGGGGAAATAATTTGTGCAAAGCAGATCATTTAATTTATATGCTTCTATGATCCAGTAAAGGGACAAGACTCTTCAGGATATTCAAGAATAGTATGTTACATTACTACAATGTTTTCTCAAGCTTTTTAAATGAAAATATATATAAATTAAGAAATCACACCCCTGCCCTAATGTGACAACATGCTATACTTAAATAAAATATTTTATAATTAAAAAAATGTGAAGTGGTTTTTCATGCTCTTGTTAATATTTTGTAAGCTAATAAATTTTTGATTAAAGGGGAAAAAAGGATTTTTTTTAATAGAAGCATTTAAAGGACATTGCCTTTGTATCAGAAAACAAAACAAAATTGTAAAGTGAAATGAACATCTTCAAAACCAAAAGGTAATAGATCAGATAGAGATCACAAACTCAAATGTCTATAGTGGCTGTGTAGGTAACAAAGGGCGCTTGAATGTAAGACAATAAAGAGTGGTAGGCATTGGTTTTCAAGGTCTGAATCTTGATAGCATTGATTTGTTGAATAATTTAAAAAAGCATTTACAAATGGCATGAAAAACCATCAACAGGCTAGGGTGCAGCTCAGTGGTAGAGTCTGTGCTTTGCAGATGGAAAGTCCTGCGTTCAATCTCTAGCACTAGAAAGAAAGAGAAAGAAAGAGCTGGGCTTGGTGGCACACACCTGTAATCTCAGCACTTGGGAACCTGAGACAGGAGGATGGAGGTGAGTTTGAGGCCAGTCTTTATTGCTTAAACAAAACTCTGTCTCTAAATAAATGAATAAATAAATAGATGAATAAAAATAAAAATAAGAAAGTAACATCCTCAAACCAAATAATACCATCAAATGCCTCGGGGTAAATTTAACAAAACATACATAACAGCTCTACATGAAAAACCATATGCCATGAGCACAAGAAGTTACAAAGGTTATAAAGAAATGCAATGATATGTAAGTCAATGGATCAAAAGAGTCAATATTTTTTTTTAACATTTATTTATTGTGTGTGTGTGTGTGTGTGTGTGTGTGTGTGTGGCCGGCTCAGCCCACCAGGGAGCGCGGCTGGCCGGCATGTGGTGCTGGGGGATCGAACCGCAGTCCCTGATGTTTTGCCAAGCTTGTTCCAAGTAGGTGCTTTAGACCACTGAGGCATCTCTCCAGCCCCAAAAGAGTCAATATTTTAAAGATGCCAGTTTCCACTTGTATACATCTATAGATGCAGTGCAATGCCAGTAAAAATCTCATCAGGCTTTCTCTTAAAATTGGCCAACTGCTCCTAAAATTCACATGGCCAAGAAAAGGCATGACTGTCTTGAAGGAGACCATATCTGGCAGACTCTCCCTGTAAACTGTAGGACTAAGACAGTGAAGTAAATACTGCAGTGTTCAAAGGAGGATGGTAAATAGCACCACCCTCGAAGCCACCCACATACTCATCAACAGGAGAACAGATAACTACTGTTATCATGTACAACAAAGAAAACAACTGATCTAGAACTATGTGAGACGCTGCACATGGATCTCACAAATGTAGTAAGATGTTGAATCAGATAATACAAAAATGAATACATATCATTCATTTGTATAGTAAATATATGTGTGGATTCCTGTTGGGTATGTGCCTAGAAGTGGAATACCAAGGTGAAAGGTGATACATCTGTCCCACGTCAGTAGACTCTGCCAGTTTTCTAAAGGGGTTGTGCCAGTTTATACAAGTGGGCTCCAGAGTTCTAGTAGCTCTAAGTCCTTTCCAACACTTGGCATTTTTCTTTGTCTTTTCTTTTCATGCTTCTTGTTCTTTTTTATTCCAGCCAACCTGGGTGTGTAATGGCATCCCAACTATGGTTTTATTTTTTGTTGTTGTTATTGTTTTTGAGACAGGGTCTTGCTATGTAGTTCTGGCTGGCCTTGAACTCACTGTGTCGTATTGATCTACGACTACATGCAACATCACACATTGCTCTCACTAAGGTAGTAAGATGCTGAGTAAAATAATACAAATATATATGTATATATATATATTATATAGAGCAAAGCAGACAAACAGAAAACAAGGAAAAATTAATCTACCCCATTAGAAGTCTAAGTTGGTTTATAGGGAAGCTAGGGACTGGAAGAGGCCATGGGAACCTTCCTAGAATGCTAGTGATGTCCTATTTCTTGAGTCTGGTGTTATTTTACTCAAGCTGCATGGGTGTGCTCACTAAGAAAACTTGTCAAACTATATGGCACGTGTGCTTTTCTATAGATTTATAATTTTTTTAAAGTTAAAAATAACTTACAGATGCATTCTGGTGGTGGTGTTGGTGATACAGATGAATCAGGCCAGTGTCTTCCCTTAGGCAACCAGAAATCTGAAAGCAGAGACATGTCAGCTACGCAGACACCTGGGATGGGGTTTAATTTTTCCCATGAGTTAGCACTGATAAAACACCGTCAGGTTAAGGAAGGGACACAAAGCCGTTGTCTGACCCAGGGACCACCCAACTTCCCAGTCCAGTAAACACTCAGTCTACATCTACTTGACCTTGAGTTGAAAAGCTCAGTTCAGCAGATAGCTAGTCAAATTATAGAAGGTAGAGATAGAAATCCAGGACAATAGAGATCATGAAAGGGAAAGAAACTGCTCAAAAGGAAAAAAGAACTGGGATGAGGGAAAGGAGGAAGGAAAGAAAGAAAGAAAGGAATACACACACACACACACACACACACACACACGATAGCTAAGATAATTGTACTACTAATTCATAAGAGTTTATTGAGAGGAACAGGTAATACTTAATGTTTTGGTCAATTTGGCATGTCTGTATCTGGTCATCTGAACAACTACTTTGAAGCTAACAATATGCAGTATAACAACCGTTGCTGATTTCCTATCATCTTGTTTTGAAATTATGTATTGTTCATAAACGCTTTTTACTTTTTATTCTCTTTAAAATAAAAACAAAGAAATCCGGGAGTCATCACATGCAGCTTGTAATAGAAGCCATGTATGTAGATTAGACTGTACAGAGAATGTGTTGAAAGAAAGGAGGCCAGAGTATGAAAAGGATCAAGAGAAGGACTGGAGAACAAAAGCTCAGAGAGAAGATCAAAATTATGAGAACGAGGTCAGGATTACAAAAGATAAGAGCTTTGGGGGTGAGGGAATCTGCTGATGGTTGTCAAGTGTCAAGGAGGCTGAGAGCTGAAGAGAAATGAATTTGAACTCATGGCTTAATGCATATCATTGACCTTTGAGATAACAGGCTCAACAGAGGAGTGGAAGGGGAAAGGTGAGGACAGAAGTCAATCTCAAAGTGCTGATGGGTAGACGTGGACTTACCTGCTGGGTTGGGTGTGTGCAGTTGCTTTCTCTTCCTTTTAAAATTCCAACAAAGCTGCCATAAAGGATTCAGGAAAGCTATGCCTCGGTAACAAGGAGAGGAACAATTGCACGCAAATGATGAAAATGAGATTTTGGAAGCTAGCAAGGTCAAGTCATTTAGGGATGGCATAATGTCAGGATGCGGGGAGGACAGTAAGCAGCTAACTAACTGACTTGTGCTGCAGATTCAGGCTGCAGAAATTTTGAAATGTTTCAGGTCAAACTCATCCAGTTATTTACAAAGCTAGAATTTCAGGACACAACGCGAAGATTGGTTGAAAGTCTTTATAAAGAGCCCCCTTTCCACTCTGGCTTGCTCTCACCCCAACAGAAGAGTCAAATGCAAAGCTTTCAATAAAAGTCAACTTGGTGGTATTCTTCTAGCTGGTTCCCAGGACACAGGGAGCCAGGCTTCCACCCTCAAACAATAGATTGGAAGATTTCTGTATGGAGAAACTGACAGGTCCAAAAAGAAACATATAGCTATTAGCGTTTCAGCACTCTCCACTTAAGTGCCCATGCCAGCCTTGTCCCTTTGTACAGTACAGCTCTCCTGAGCAGTAAGTGCTGCCCATGCAGATAGAGCTTCCAGGTAGCAGTTTAGCATCTCCTTCTTCAATTAGGCAGGGCTCACCACCAAACATTTGAAGAAAGCCTCTAACACAATAGACACCGAGGCAAGGAGATCATCAAACATACATGGCAATTTAGGACACAGCTCATAGAGCAAAACATGAAGCATGCTACCAGGTCCTGGAGAACCCAGAGAACATACTAAATTGGTGGAACAAGCAAATTTAAATAAAGAGGACAGATTTCAAAAGAAATATTGAAAGATAAATTTGGAGAATATTCCAAAAGTAGAGAAAAACAAAGAAATAGATTACTGGAGGACCAGCGAGACTAAAGTGGGACTAACGTGCCTGCTTAGGCAAATTTAGGCAAACACAGGGACTGCAGTTCGATCCCCCACACCACATGCCACATCAGCTCTGCTCTGCCCCCCTGGGCAGGCAGAGAGAGAGAGAGA